TTTAATAAATCCTAATACACATTAAATATTTATGAATGTAATACTAACGCGAATAGTAGAATCATCGATATAACCGGAGCTATCGGGATTGCTGCATTTATCACTGTTTAATGTCTGCGGAGGGTTCAAGTACTTGCGCCTGAAAAAAGGAATTAATGAACAAATGCTTTAGTGAACGCAGAACGCAGATGTAATTAATACACATTACGACTTCACGACACATTACCTGTATATAATGAATCCGAGACTACCCATTGTGCTGAGCAGGGCCACAGTCGCTAAACAGCTACCTGTAATAGCAGCTATACCCGCAGCGGATGTCGTCGAACCTTGCTCAGTGCTTTCACTGTTATTACCAGTGTCGTTATAATCGGAAGGCTGATTGTCTTCTTGCACTTGATCCCTCTGGAAGTGCTGCGTGATGAAAGTGTTCCTCGCTCTGCTCAGACGAGTGGACTCGCCAACTGCACATTTGTTTCATGCGATCATTATAAAGAGTTTAAAGTACTCAACTCTCTTTCTCTTATCGCTAAATCTAAACCAAGCTAATTCTGAAACTTTTTACATCTATTCTACTTCTATTGTTTACTAAAATGTTAAATTTAATCAAAGACCAAAATACAATTAGTAAGCGTATATGAAAAAGGAGGTCAATGTCGGCGTTGTGAAAACAATTTAATTAAAATATAATGCGATTCTCTTCTCTATCTTGCGCGAGATAACATTATGGTCATTAATTGTCGAGATCATTCTCATTTTTATTCACTGTAACACATTTCTCTCTGAAGTTTACCTCCAAGGATAGACGCCGCTGTAGCGAAATGCTGCGTCTGAGCCACCTCTTCGTCGATCTCAACCTCGTCCTCGGATTGATTAAACGTCCTGATTGCAGCACTACTAGCAGCTCCGGTCGAGGACAAGGACGTTACGATGGAAGACCTTGTCCTGTTTAACGTCAAGTCAACCTTCGACATTTCTTCTTGAAGAGGTAGCACGGTGAGATCTTCGACTTCCTCGAAGCTAACGTTCCTGGCGACGCTAGATTGATTTCTCTCCTCCTGATCGTACTTCGGTCTACCTGACGATTTGTTAGTTGTCAGGATCCACGTGATCTTGCTGTTCTCCTTCTTCGTCGAGTTCCTGGTTCTCTCGACGTTCTCCGCGACGAGCTGCGGAGGTATCGTCGTGCCAAGCGGCTCGACGTTAGAGATATTACTGCGAAAACTTAGCTCGACTGTCTCGTGAACGCTCGTTCCAGAAGCAGTACCTCCACGTTCTAATAGCAACGAGGCGACAGTAGTGACGGATTGCTGCCTGTCAGGCACTACGGCTGTATTCGTCTGTGGATAAAGACCAATAGCCTTAGCGATTCGAAAAGTCGGCCTGGTTGACTTCGACGTGCGATAAATGTCTTCGACCTCGATCGCCGAGGATGTCACCCTTGGAGACGATTGAGACTGGTTGACAGGATCCGATGTGGTTGACGGCAAAGGACTCCCAAAAATCACTGAAAAAGAAAATAGACGATTGAATAAAAATGAATTACACAATCATTAAATCGTGTAATGCCTCTT